TGGTAAAATTAATTAATTTCAGGAATAAAGCATGAAAAGACCAATATTACTGGATCCTAAGCCTTTTAGTATTGTATTCAGATTCTTGCAGATGTTCAAATAAGTGATGACCAAAATTTCAGCGACGGGCCGTCGCCGAAAAGCACTCGTCTCCTTGGCCACATTACTGCGCCCGGACACGCGTGTCCAGTTTTTCTGAAATTATCTTTGTTTTTATATCGGATTTGTGAAATCTTGATCGTACCATGATGCATATGTAACCGACACGAAAAAAAAATAACACATGATACGTTGTACGTTCCTCTAATCGAAAATCTTTATTAAAAATACAGAATATCAATCAAAGATAGGCCTACGCCAGAAATAAAAAAAAACTAATTGTCAGAATCGATAGTTGAGCTATCTTCTACAAGTCTACCTGATTTGGGTAAAGATGCATTATGGAGTAAGGTCATATTGACGATTAAAATATTTCGTAATATTAGCAAGGTTTCTACAAATTTTGTAACGATGGAAGGGGCTGATTGTTGAATTGGTATTTCTGATTCATGGAGATGATAATGACGATGCACCTCACTCATATCCCTAATAAGAATACTTAGACGTAATTTCTTTCCTGCCACTTGTACACCAATAATACCGAATTCATCCTTATCAGGCTTACAACTCTTACGAGTCCAATACATACCATCATTAGTTTCACGCCACAACTTTACTCCATCATTCTTTTCTTTTCGTGTTGTACAAGTCAAACGTGAACATTCGGCATATAAAAGTTCGTAATTTTTTTTACCACGTTTCATTACAAACATTATATCCGGTCGTCTTCTCAATCGCCCATCACCTTTTCTATCGGCGCTAGCACTGCTTTGACGTTCGGAACTACTGATAAATGTAGATTTACCTAGAGGAAGACATATTTACATACAGTGCCCGTCAAAAGTATTCCCCCTTACCCTAGGTCAACGAGGAGATAAGATAAACAAAAAATCTTTTTTTTATTTAAAAGCTCTGATTTCATACAACAAGGTTAGTACATGATATAATCGCCCTCGGCCTCAATTAAAGCTTCTACACGCTTTCTTACACTTGAGGCTAATCGGGCCGTATATTCTTTAGGTAAATGACGTGATTCATTTTGCAATTCTCCCTTCAAATCCTTAACAGTTCTAATTTTTTTTTGCCAGGTTATTTTTCATGAGCCCCCAGACATTTTCAATCAGGTTTTGATCAGGAGACATTGACAGTCATGGGAGAATTTTTACATCTTTCACCCCTTCATGATCTTTGAATAATGCTTGGAATCATTATCTTCTTGAAGGATCTACTGATCATTTTTCTAATCAAAAAGTTTATTAGCAGGTGGCAGAAGATCCATTTCATATATATTTAGCAGAAAATTAATATTGAGATTTCTCACAAAGCAAACCAGCTTGCCAAAGTTCACAGATGAAAAATATTTTTATATATGAATTTTCAGAGAATGCTTCACAGAACAGCTTATCTTTCTTCTTTTAGAAAATAGTTATATTTATTTATGTCTTGATTTAGATGAAAGATATTTTTATCTAAAAAAATCATCTTGTTTTAGTCAAAATTTCTATATTTTTTCATTTATTCTAGCTATTTTTGCTAATATTTTTTTGTAAAGAGATTTTAAAAATTTGCTTATATATTTATCTTTCTCTTTATGAAGATGATATTATATAGTATATATATTAATATTAATATTCTGCTTAATCATCTTCTTTCAAATTTGTGAAGTTATTATATTAATTTTTTTTTGTAGGCTTTATTATTTACTTGTCATGTTATTGGATAGTATTATCTTTTTGGTGTAAGTTTTGAGATGAGGGTGAGTATCAAACCTAATATTACAAAAGCATGTGATAAAAGCAACACGTGCTTAAAGTGATATTTGAGAGAGTTTTTAAAAGATTTATTAACAAGAATATATCTAATATTATTTCAAGATTTATCTAAAGATAGGTAATGATAGTATTCTTGTTGTAACTAGCTAGAATATAGTCCAATTCCAAAATATAATTTCAAAATAAATGTAATATTCAGTTTATTAACAAGATGAATTAATAAATCTTAATCAAGATTTATTTTACAAAAGAGATTTCTTAGAATTCTCTTAAAACTATAATCTACTAAAATGCAAATTAAGAACTAAACTCATAGAACTCAAATTAAACTAAATAACTAATTATCTAACTAACTAACTAACTAACTTACTAGCTAAGATACATCACTTTTATATATTTTAGAGATTATACAAATGATACTTTTGTTATGATACTTATACTAGTTTTGTTATGATCTAAATGTTACTTTAGCTGGTATCATAATGTTGATTTTGTTATGATAGCATTATTAGTTTTGCTGTAATAGTTTTACTAACTTTGTTATGATAATTTTGTCATAATTATCATGTTTGCAAAACCTTCTAAAAATATTTACAAATAATATTCTCTAAAGCTAATGTCCAATAAGATATAAAGAATTATTCATC